AAGTGTATGCTTTAATCGTCATGACGAATTCCCTAGAAACAAATATTTATGCAGAAACGAATGACAAATTTCCATTAATTGCTTGTCCAAATAACCTGTGCAGTTTTCCCCTGATTAGAGGTTTACCTAACACTTATTGAAAAGGGTAGATCGTGATAGAAAGTTAGTCATAAAAAGGCAGTGAAAGCTATTACAGAAGGAAGTCACATGTGTTTGAATAGCCAAAATCAAATAAACGTTGATCCACTTATCAAATGAACTTAACTTCGATCCTTTCTTTTGCCTCAGAAGAAAGTGTTTTCGTTTTTTCTTATGTGCATTATCAGGGGTGCGATAATAAGCGTAGCTGCTACGTAAAGCTCTGCTCTAGAACGGAGAGCTAACATCTACGTAGGGAGCGCTAGTATAAATATTTGATGCTAAGTACCAAATCCAAGATGGCCTCCTCAGTTGCAACTTCGAGACACACACGATTTTAACAAAAAAAGGTATTTTTTTCTACATTTGAGGGAATTAAATAAAAATATACATAAATATTCGCTCGAAATAAACTCGTTTTGTTTCAAAAATAAGTTTTTAATATATATTTTTATCCAAAATCTAATATTTGGCGGCAAAACTAGCTATCTGTTCACCAGAGAAAGATAGGAAATTTGTGGAAATAACGTACAGTATTCAAGCTCAAAAGTAAATAAACTATACAAAATTGGAGCTGAGCATACACAGATCTCCAAAACAACAGAGGTGGGATCAGGTACCATGGATTAGTGAACATTCCCTGCTGACCGGTCAAAACTGCCGCATGCTACTTGTCGTGATCGGAAAATAACAGAAAATCTCGTCGAAAATGCAATGTTTATAATGGCCGGACAATTAGTTAAACTGTATTAAAATTATCGGTCAGCATTTAACTTATTATGATAAATTGTATTTGCTGCCAAGGTCATTGTATCGACATAGAACTTACACATGACAATGATGAGTTAAAACGAGATCACTAATATTCTTGTTTCAGAACTTTGTCTATAATTTACCCCGTCTTAGAAATTGCCAATACATAGAGCATGCTCTTGCGTATCGAATCAACTGAATATAACCCTGTATGCAGGTGATGACTGATGAGAGTAAAGGAAGTTGACGATTGAAAAGTTAAAGTCATCACGTTTATCATAAAGCAGATATATATCAGATATATATCAGAAACTAAAGCTTATATTTAATGTCAACTTCATAGTAATTGTGTGTACTTGTCTTTACATTCAGAATGAGTACAATCAGAACGCAATAATATTGCAAAAGACGATTGGCAAGTCAAGAAAATTTACAATTTCCATTTATATTGAAAAAGCAGCTGTCAATGAAATCAAAAAGCCCTGTCTTTAATTTATCGTGGGGAATGGTTGTATATAAAGTTAAAAATTCGTAAGTTTTCATGCTGTCGATTTTGGTAAAATTTTGAGATTTCAGATTTTCCAAAAGTTCCCTGAAATTTTCAAGTATCCATATCTGATTTACACCGAATATATTGTTGCACAGTACATGTACACCTATTGTTGCACAGTACTCCTGTAAACTCCTCATTAGAAAGGGATCTGTGGGTAAAGGCTGTCGTATCACTAGTAGGATTAAATCCATTTCCTCTGAAGTTTTTTTCCCTTCACTACTGTTAATATTTTAGTTAGGAGTACAGAAAGGGGTTTGTTAGAAGATTTACTTGAACCCACTGTGTATCTTTGTTTGTAAGGATTTTTATAAAGTTTTGGAATCCAATTTAGATATGGTTATTCAAATTTAGTCTGGTTTTAGAAATATTAAAAGATTTCAAAGCTGATGTATGTTTTTGAAGAATTCGAATTTCATCATTAGAAAGGGAGCTATGGGTATAAGATAGGTTACCACTAGTAGAATTAAATCCCATTTCCTCTAAAATACAATTTAAATATTGCGCCTTACAAACAAAGACAATGTTGTTATATGTTGTTGTCAGCAGGAACCAGTACATACTGTCCATGTAATCTATCTCAGTCTTTTATTGAGCAGATTTTGACACTCTAATTAAACATACATCTGATACATTTAATCCATTCTGACAACGTGTTCAAGGTCTTTTTCATGTTTTGCCCATCGTCTGGTGTAATCTTCAATAGTATCCATTATATTAATGAAATTATGACGCCAGTAAAAAGATCGAGGTTCCCTAAATTTTAACCCTTTCAAAAATAAAGATTTAAGGTCCTCATTATTTACTCTATATATTTCCGTCACCAGTAATTCGTATCCATCAGGACTTAAGTTGCAGGTTAAAGAAGAACATGAACAGGAAGGAGGATTGTGTTTCAGATATTTGATATCTAGGCTCTGTAAAGTTTTCTTGTAATTAAAAAGTTTGGAAGCAGAATTCTAATTATATCTGTATAGGAAATACATAATGTAGTCTTAAACTTGAAATATGGTGGAAAATAAGACTGGATCCATTTGTGATTAAGAATATGACTAATATGAACCCCATCAATTCCTTTGTTGGTATATTGGACTTTTTGAAAAATGTGTTTTTATAGCTACATTTTCTTCTGCAAAACGTGTCAGTTAAAAAAAATCTATGATTTGCAACATCCATCATAGCTGTCTGTATATGAAACTTAAATTGCCAGCCCACATATATCAATATATATATACGGTTTATATTATATTGACCTTCACCACATGTTGTAGTTTTGATGTATTATTTAATATTTATGTCTATATTGTTAATTATATATTGCTATGTTTATGCCTAATGACACCGATTGGTAATAACACTCAGACCTCAATTCTTTACTGTATTTTCTGTTGTACAGAAATTTTTCTTCTGAAATCATTTTTAAAATTTTTTTTATACCCCCTATTAAAAATAAGGGTTATTGTTTGCACCACAGGACTTTAATCATAATAAAACATTTTACAAGTAAAATAAAGATTCCCCATACATCCCATTTTTTTAAAGTTGAAATGTGGTTAAAAAAAAGATAGGCCATTTTTGTGATTAAGAATACAACAATATTAGCAGTGGCAATTTTTTTTTTGGCATTTTTTTTTGAAATGTGTTGTTATTTTTTTTCATTTTTCCTGAACTGATCCAACCTTGTTTAAAATAAAATACAGTAAATAAAATAATGATTTGTTTTAAGGACAACACTTTGTTTATATCTTGTACTGGGAAGAGGTCAATGACAACATAAGCACATTTTATTTAAAACAGAACTGATATATAAATATATTTTTTTCAAAAAATCCCTTCGAATTCGTAAATACATGTACTCGTATTTTGAATTAATTTTTTCCTCTAAGGTCTAAAGCCTTTTTTTTTTTTTTTTTTTTTTTAGGTATTTTGATTCCAAAAGCATATAATTTTCTTTATCCATACAATTATATATAGACCATATAAATTGCATGATTTTGTATTTATTGCATTTTTCTTTAAGGTAAAGTTGGATAGGAAGCTAATAATACTGTAATGTGATCGAATATTGACTCCAGTTTATCTAACATATGTTTATCTAATGACTCTTTCAAACTGAAATGAAAATACACCACCTCGTTGGCATGACCGGCTTACACAATAATTAGTAATAATCATAATGACGCTGGATTTAGCAATACTGTGAGACCGTGATACCAAAACGATGCCCACTGTAAATTTTGGCGCCTGAAACTTGATACAGTGAGAGTGTCTAATGAAACTTACATGTTGTTTAATGCAGATGTTATATTCTATTCTGAATTAATGGTTTATTTTCTGATATTTTATTTCTGGGAAATTTTCTTACAATGAGTTCGCTGGGAAAATTAAAATATTACTATTATGATTTCAATATAAACCGAAATTTAATTCCTGATTTGATTCACATATGTCAAAATATATTAATCTTGATGTTAACAAGATCATTTGAATATCATATTTTTCAAGAAATATATTTGATTCCTAATTTTTCAGATCAATACGTTGTTTCCAATAAGATTGACAAATTATAAAAGTATACTTATCAAATGGTAATAAACAGTTAATTTGGAATATTCTGAAAAAATATTTGTGTTAAGTTATACCTTTTTGAATTATAATTATGGCATGTTAGCCAAAATTTTAATAGAAATGTAAAATACACTATTATAATTTATCTCAAACTAAAAATGTATTGATGTTTTACCTATTAATATTTTATTCTAGAATCTTATACTAAGCCAACTTTTCAACTTTAATTTGTAATTTTAACAGAAATGTAAACTACATTGTAACAATCTCTGTATGTATTGAAAGTTTTCTAACATATAATATTCTTTTTTCAAAAAACATATGAATGAAAACTGTATTTATAACCTAATATATCTTAACATCACACTCAAGTTAAAAAAGTTAATAAAAGTATTTACATTTTGTTAATGATGTTCAGTAGGCCTTTGTCAATCATTATAATTGGTATAAAATAGAATTAAACATAAAATATTGCTTTTCAAAATATGTAAATGGTTATTATATTTGTAACCGCCTATCATAACACTGTGCTCAAGCTAATAACAAAATAAACAAGTAAAAGTAAATTACATTTTTGACATACAATCTTTGTTGTGATAACTGATATATTTTTCTTTAAATAACGATAATTTAGTTCTCATTACACCTTTTAAAATTTCAATTTCGCTGAACCACTTTCTATATTAGGTACTATAAACTGGAATTATTTACCAATATGAATTAGTTGATTAAAAAATGTTTAAAATGGTATCTTTGATACACTCCAAAAGTAGTCACTGCACAAATCGACTGTCAGAATTTTGGATTTTAATCAAACTGTATGTATCGGAAATCGCCTTCGGTATATTGCTTTAAAATTATAAAGATACTATATCAATGATGAATAATTAAACAACTCCATCTAGATCCAGCATTTCCCATCTTAAGAGTAATAATTAAGAAAAAAATTATTGGTTTATTATTCATACATTAAATTTTAGATTTTACTTACTTGACAACTTTCCCAAATTATATGACAACCTTGTGAATGTTGTATACATGTCTGCATCCGCTGCGTCCCGAATGATTAAATCCCCGACACCGCTGACAATCGGAAGTTTAAGGTACTGTGCTAGTCTCCCGGCCGCTACGAGAGTAGCCGAACAAGCTGGTCCTATCACTGCGTTCACTTTATAAACGTAATGAAGTTCCGAAAGGTGTCCGATCACGGTTTCTTTGGGACAGAATCCAGTATAGTTATGATAGGTAGGAGTAAAGCGTATTCCATACTTTGATTTTGAACGTTCAAACGCAATATCTAAAGCAGGCCCTACTCTTCGTAAATCAAATGGTTCAGCCGCGCTTGTCATTAACAACACTCCAACTTTTACATCAGTTACAGAACTGGTTGTTTTGAAAGTAAGAAATAAGAAAATGAAAATGTGTGTATGTGAACATTTTCACCGAATTGTATCCTTATAACATATCAAGCGTCTTCAAGAGAATCATTCTGGCATGAAGCTTCTGGACTTTGGGCTGCTACTGTCCACTAGACCCACACAGACAAGTCGTTGAAATGTTATACCATCAGATTTCACTCTAGATATGAGAAATTGATTAATTCGCTACAGAAGAGTCAGCCTATGTTTAGAAGTATCGGATTTTCATTGCCATAAGGATACCTAATTTGTGATGAATGCCATTCAAACAGCGTGTTTATTGCTCACAACTAAGTAGCACTTCACAAGTTATTTCTTAAATTTGAGTGCGAGTGATTGAATAATAATCACCTTTGTATTGAGCCTGTGCCATAAGTGTGATATATATTTGTCAGAGTTTTTGTTTGCCGATGTTTTTATACATTATAATCTGTGATGATTACCAATATCTAATTCCCGTGTGTGAAAAGAGGTGATGGAATGGCTTTAGTCGAAGAATAGGTGTTTATGGCGCACTACCTACGCCAGAATGTATACTGTTGTGAAGAACAGTAAACGTTTAATACAACCATTTGTAAAAAAGAGGGAACTAATTTAATATAAATCGTGATAGATATATCCAGTTACTGTGTAAAAAGTTGTCTCTTCATCATCCAATCGAAAATAACTAAACAGATTACATAAATCTGTAAAGAACTTTTAATTATAATGGTATGGAAGATTTTATTTCAAATGTAATGGTTACAAAAACGAGGTTCTCATTCTCAAATCAGCTTTATGTCTCACTGAATAATTTGGCAGTTAAAAGTTATATAACTAAATTAAATATATTTTCTAAAATCCATACCAATAAATACCACCAGAAAGTAGCATACCTATAGCATATACACTTTCTCACTCCTTAGAACTGTACTTCAATACAAAGACCTTTTTATAAGAAAATGGGTGGTTGCATTGCATGGATAAATTTCTTGTAAACTACATGTTGAACTAATTACATATCCAATAACATGAACACAACAATTAAATTTTTCCAAAAAGAATTGATGTTCCAAAAAGTTATGAGGCTTGCTTAAATATTTGTTAGTAAAGTACATGAATATGACTATAATTAATCAGGAAATGAAGATGTATCATTCTGAAAATATGAATTCATTAATTTGACGCATTTTTGGTTTTAAAGATCAAAGTCTGAAAATGACTCATTTCAAAGGTTATTTTCCTTAAGAAAATAGTGTTCCACATTAATATTTGGATATTTATTGTAAAAAATTTTTAAAAAATCACGTATGTCAAATCTTTTTGGGCAATGTCTGTGGATAATATTATCTGAAAGAAAAATGCATGTTTAGAAGAAAATCCAGGAAAATGCACGTTTATGACGTTACAGTTTGCTTTGAGAAGGCATAAGAGATGTATGATCTTTATGCATGGAATTTCAATGATTCAGAAACCATGAGTTTTATTTCTTACATCTTGAACTTTCATTTTTAAGAAAAAGACAGGATAGGATCTGTTCTGAAACCGTACTTTGTTCTTTGCAAATGACCATTGAAAAGGTAAGTATCTTTAGGAGTTCCATTTTTATTGAATAAGCAACTGTCAATCATCTCAAAAAGCCTGGACCTTAATTTATCATTGGGAATGGTTGTGTATAAAGTTGATAAGTTTTAAATTTTTGATTTTGGTGAAATTTTGTCTTTTCAAATTTACCAAAAGTTCCTTGGAATTTTGAATCACCACATCTGATTTGCATCACTTCTCGAATATATTGTTGCACAGTGCTCCTGAAGTTTTCCTTCACTACTTCTATTTTAGTAAGAAGTAAAGAAAGAGGCTTGGTAAAGCATTGCTGCCTTGAAATAGATACTCCCACTTATATGTTCGTTAGATATTTATCCTAATGTAATAAAAGACACCTAAGTACATGTAAACTTCAAACTTATCTAAAGGTTACCTGAAGTTTTATTTGTGTATTGAAGTTGGATAATTTTAATACACTTATAAAGGTACAAATTGCGAGGAAGAAGTGAAATGTAAAGAATTGAAAGAGGGGTCTTGCTAAAAATACTATTTCATTTACAATTTGTGAGTTTTGTTTATACAGAGGTGGGGACAGTGTCATGAAGGAGCCAGCATTCTTAAATTTTATATCACAACTCTAAACTTCAGGTAACCTTAAGATAAGTTTGAAGCTTACATGTACTCAGTTTCATTTGAAATAAAAAACAATCATTCACAAAATTCTTATGTTAGTAAAAATGATCAAATGATTTTTGAAAATTCATGTAAAAAACACGCTATACTCGAATATGAAATATATTTAATGAAAAAAAAGAACAAATCAGACTTTCCTTGCTTACGCATTATTGGTATAGTTTGTAGTTAGCCGGAACAACCCAGTTATCCATTTCTTTAGAGAGTAAAATTGCCACTGGGGTATATAGTAAAAACAAGTAACATGATAAAGTTTTCAATAAGTAATATATAACTTTCCAATTCCAGGAAGATTCATGGTTCTCTCTTTGCTTGGGCTAATTTACTTCCAACTTTGGAAGCCTGTCGGATTTTTCCTATTACCTCCATTAAATTGTCAATGAAATCTGTTTTATCATCTGAAAAAAAAATTTAAATGATTGTTTATGTTCAGAATTGCAGGGGATCTTCATTTATAGATAAAGGATGCTGCTGAGCGTTCTTTATCTCATTTCGTAAGCAAAATCAGGATAGGGTTATAAAGGTTACCCTAGCATCATCAAATCATCGAGGTTTGAATCGATATACAGTGTAGTATAATGACGCTATAATGCGTTGACAATGAAGTGATGTTGCGACAATGCGATGACGAGATTGTGAGATAGCGACAGCACGATATCGATGGGGTGATGATGCTGAAGAAATGTCCACTGTCGCACCATCGTAAACGCATTATCATGCCATCGCAGCATCGTCATTATGTTATCGAATCATCGTCATTGCATTATATTTACATTCGCTGTGTTCTTCTACTAAGCAAACAGTAAAATTGATTTGAAAACCATTTTCGTGTATACTCATGCGAAGAAATAAACACGGAGAAACGTGCATTAACGTAACTTCACAATAAGGCTACAGCGACGTTAGTAAAAGTATAAAAATATAGGCTGTGAGAAATTCAAGTATTGAGTATATTTTTGGTGCTTCCAAACATGTAAAATGTAAATATAAGGAATGTTTTTAGTTTAGTGTGAATTATTGGTGTGAGAATCACACAGACTTGCACGTAGGGATATTTTTCATGAAGCGCTAGCGCGCTTCAGGAAATATGCCTATGTGATAAGTCTGTGTGATTCACACACCAATAACTCACACAAAACTTAAAAACATTCCTTAAATGACGCCATCGAACCTTTAGGCGATGATGCCATAGTGAACTACGTGGCCTAATCCTATTTATTTTTTTTATATTCATATGAAGCAGAATTTGTGCAAAATCTTATTCGTGAAAAGAAGAAAACACTTTCTGTGGCCTTCAACTCGACATTTAGATATATCGACGACGGCAATGAAAAACGGTAATTTCCATTCCTACGTCGATACGATATATCCTGGTGAGCTTAAGATAAAAAATACTACAGAGTCTGACACATCTGTTTCATACTTGGATATTTTACTTAAAAAAGACGTTAACGGTAATCTAACTACCAAGCTATATGATAAACGTGATGACTTTATCTTTTCTATTGTAAACTTCCCTCACTTATGCAGCAATATACCTTCATCACCTGCATACGGAGTATATATATCTCAGTTGATTCGATACGCAAGAGCATGCTTTGAATATGAACACTTTCTAAAACGAGGTAAATTATTGACAAACAAGTTGATGAAACAAGAATAACAGCAGTCTCGTTTAAAGTCATCATTTCGTACGTTCTATGGTCGATACAATGACCTTGTCAGCAAATACAATTTATCATTGAGTCAAATGCTGACTGACGTTTTTTCTACTAATTGTTAGTCCATTATTTATACACTGAATTGACGACAGATTTTTCCAATTTCCCGATCATGACAGGAGCACACAACAGAGAATAGTATTATTTGCAAAGAACTGACAACAAAAGTCAACAGAAAAATCTAGGATTCGCGAATAAAATACCGGGTTTAGCCTAATTTAATATAGAGTAAACACTACATGACACACATACCCTCACAAACATTAAATGTTGACTTTTTTAAAATGATAAAAATGTTATAACAAAAATAAACATGAAAAGAAAATGTCTACTGTACATAAAGTTTATATTTACCTTCATATAGGATTGGTACACAACAGTCTCTAACATCCTCTAAACCGTTTTCTCTACATGGAACATCTCGCAATATAGTTTGAAGCTCCTTCTCAAACTGTTCAATTTGTTTTGTGAATTGCTGGTTATTCAATCCAGCAATGTAGGATTCATGCATATTGCGCAAAGTTCGTAGAGGAGCTGCAAATTCTCCCATGAAAAACTCTACAAATTGTTTAGGTTCACTTGGGTGTTCAGGTTTCTAAATGAATTCAAAGAAATAAATGTGTGACATTTCTTTAAGAATAAAAAATCAAGAGGCCTATGGGCCATTTTGCTCACCTGAGCACACGTGCTAGGTAAAAATACAGCTCAGTGTTATCTCGTAAACAAAGTGATCTACCCCCCCCCCCTTTCCGTCGTGTTTTAAAAAAAAATATGAATCTTCAATACAAGCAGATGCTTATATGTTAACTTAACTACTAATTACCTTTCTTTTTCTGTTATGGAGAAGATGATTTTTTCCTATATATTCTTATGTAAAATTTTGATCCCTCATTGTGGCCACAACCTAACCCCAGTGGTCATTATTTGAACAAACCTGAATCTAGAGCACCTAAGGATGCTTCCATTAGTTCCATATAAAAATCAAAATGACCCTGTGTTTCTTGAGTTAAAGATGAAAACGTAAAAATTGACGACAGACAACGGACAAGGTGAGCTTAAAATATTAAAAAGTTAATATACGTAAATTACAACAATAAATCAAAATTGTGTAGTTCAGTCGAATTACCCGTTTTACGAAAATTTGATACACTGTGTGATTCTTAAAATGATTCAATGCAAGCTTTTTTTTTACAATCTTTTACCAATTCAAACTTTTTGAAATCGATTTTTCAAAAACGTATTGAGTTTGAACTCATGAATGTAGGTATTTGAAAAGAAATCAAAGAAAACCCCATTGATAGCTTATATATAGTAAATTGATATTTTCAAGAACCTCTAAAGGTAAGGTGGAAAAAAATATGGTCTAAAATTCCAAATAATTTGAGAAAACTTACTTTATATATGGCATACATATTCACATCAAACTGTCTCCTTACACCTGCAACATTGGATTCCACTTTACGAACAGATCCAAATTTTTCTATGCCGTATTGCGAGGACTCAATCTCATCTAGTGAATGAATCGTTTTCCCAGATAATGGAATGAACTCGAATAACTTTACAACACACTTATTAGGATCAGCGTTAATTTCCGTCATTTTTTGTTTACATCTTATAGCCAGATCTGAAATACATATATATTTAAATTGATTTTATACTCATAGTTCCCTTTTTAAGGAAGATATTCTTCAAAATCATATGTCAGTTTTGAATAATTTTAATATCCAAAAGAACCAAAATTAATTTGAACAACCATATATACACATGTATACTGGATTCCAAAACTTCACAAGAATCCACACAAACAAAGATACATGTACATAGCGGGTTCCAGTAAATGTTCAATCAAGCCTCTTTCTTAAATTAACTCCTCACTAAGATATTAACAGTAGTGAAGGAGAAACTTCAAGAGTACTGTGCAACAATATATTCAAGAAGTGGTGTAAATCAGATGTGGATACTTAAAAATTCCAAGGAACTTTTGGACAATTTGAAATCACAAGATTTTACCTAAATCAGCAGCTTAAAAACTCAAAACTTAACAGTAGTTAAAATAAGTAAATTTTCTTACCTTGCCATTGGTCATTTGCAAAATTATTTTTTGTTAAAAGACACTCTGATTGTACACACAAATACTCTGAAGTTGACATCCAAAAGATGCTTGAATTTCTGTTTGACAATATCTATGTTGTTTTTGGAGACCAGGTCTTAGAAAATCTATTGAAATTTCCATGGGTACCAATTGCGCCCCGTTATTAGTGGAGCTATTTTTGTATTCAGTTGAAAAAGAATTTGTGCAAAATCTGATTCGTGAAAAGAAGAAGACACTTGCTTTGGCCGAAATATGTGTCGGATCAAAAAGTACTAGCTAAAGGTTTGTTACATGTAAAGATCTTTTGGAAGATCTCTTCCTCCCTCTATATTGTTTTACGGTAATGTGTAAAGAGGTATACTCGTGGTGTCCCATGTTATTCAGAAGCCACCACACATCACGTCATAGGTAAGAATATAATGGCAGTGTCTATGTTTTGCTACGGGAAACCAATATGTGTCGCATCAAAATGTGAAATAGAAGGTGCTAAATGGCATTATATAATGAAGATTCTCTGAAAGTCTCAACAAATTTCAATAAGTGGTATAAGAGGAGTTGCGGATAAGAGATGTGTACCCCAAAGCGTAACAGACGGACGTAAAGACAGAAGGGCGGACGAACATCCCGATTACTATATACGCTCCCGCTATTCAAGCCATAACAATAGTAAATTCCATTTATATATCAACTCAATACATCCCAGTGAACCTGAAATAAATGACCCCACTGAGACTGCCACATATGATTCATATTTCGAAGTTTTAGAGATTATAGAGGATAAGAACCAGCTAACAACCAATGTCTTTGCAAAAATGAGATGGTTTTATCTTTTCCGTCTTTATTTTTCCTTGTTTATGCAGCACTATACCGCTATTAACTGTCAACTATTAACATAGTGTTTACATCTCAAAAACTTATTCGATACTCAAGAAAAAGTTCCGAGAATGATAGCTTTTTAAACCAAGACTGATAGACAAATTTCCTTGAAAGTAAGCATTTCGCAAATTCCATACATGGGCGTTATAACGACCATATTTACAAATATTTCACATCATGGGTCGCATTTCGCCTGCCATGTTTTATACCAACTCTTAGGCCTTTTTTATGCAAATTTCGACTGAGGAATATTCCGTCTATCAATACAGAGGCTCCCAATGGATGTATCAAGTCAACAGGGAATGCTTTCCCTTCAAAGGTACATGCATATGATCCCCTCTAGGATTTGGTGGCAGTTTTATGCCCGGTTTACAGATTTGTTTAGTTCAATTTTTTATATCAATCGCTTTAATTTTGTTACCTTCACTTCTGCATCATTTTGTTTTTTATCAGATTGGTTACAATTTATTCAGCCATTCTAGGGAAAACTTTGGAATTTTTCAAAACTTTACGTTCAATGGACAATGGATAAATACAGAAAAGAGTGACACATCGTAAAATCTTGTGATCTGTAATTACTCTAAATTACATTTTTTCTTCTTAACATTGTGCTGTTTATCAAATCAAAGTTAAAAGAAATATCAAGAAACACTTACTAGTAACAGCATATTGTAAATAGTTCATAAAAAACGCCCAGGCTAGACCGTACGCTACATTCCCCACTGGAGATAAAGACTTCATTGAAACTGGTTTGCCTGAAATGAGAAGTTGCATTTATATGCACAGTGGTAATTTATATACATGTTTACATAAAATATCAATGGTATTAATTTCAAACTTAAATAAATTTTATACTTTGCACATAACCTCAACCTTTAAAAAAAGAATATGGTATTCTTTGTTATTAATATGAAAAATTTCAAGCGGAAGATGTAGATTATATCAATTTCATATTCAATCTTAAGAAAAAAAGTAAAAATCGTGTAAATTAAGGCTTGGAAATTTTAATGAAATCTGATTTTCCTATTTGTCATGTCATCTCATAATTGACTTCTTTACACCATTACCATTGATGATGTCAAGGATTCTGTTTTGGTACCCCTCCTCTTTAATGCTGATGTATGTCACCCATCGTATGAAGTCCGGAATGCTACTGGCATCAGAATCTATCAACACTGGTATAACTCGGAGCTCGTTGTCCTCCAAACTACAACTTAAGACATTTGCCATCCAGAGTGGCATGCACTCAGACTTAGTCACGGACATAGCATTTCCAGACATAAATAAAACCACCCAAGCAGCAGAGGTCAATCTTTGTTCTGTTTCATGAAGGCTCTGGTCCGGCATTACTACCTTACTTACTCGTTTCCCTTTCTCCTCTAGAGCAACCCTCACTTTTAATGCATCACTGGAATCGCATTTAGAATATAAAAGACAAACATCATGTTTGAACCTCTTCTTGTTACCGGGGAATGGTTGTTGCTACAAGTTTTAAAAACAATTCATTATAGAACTAGCTGCAGTTCTGTAGCTCTCCGAAAAAAATATCTTGATACATGTAGACCGGAGAGCTACAGTGCCGCCCATTGAAAAAACTGTATATTTATTGCACACAAAAAAGTGCGCTCGGTTCTGGATTAATTCTTCCAAATTCTTTCCTCAATTGCAAAAAAGAAAAGATTTCAAAAAATTCCTTTATCCTCAATCAAGCACTCTCGAAGTTGACATCTGCACGAAGCGTATTGGAGCGAATTATCTTTGAAACCAAAATGGCAGTATAAATAAGTGAAATGTTCGATGATTACAATATCAGGGTCAGGGGGACTATTAAAAACAACAATTATGAGGAATGTTTGGTTTTGGAAACAGCGAAAGAATATGTTAGGAACACACGGTTAGTAATATTTTGAGATTACAGTTTTAAAAACATGGAGAAATAAATCGAGAACCGAGCGCACTTTTTTGTGCGCAATGAATATACAGTTATTTCAATGGGTGGCACTGTAGCTCTCCGGTCTATCAATATATTTTTTTCGGAGAGCTACAGATCTGCAGCTATTATAGAACTGACTATTAAATAAACGAATCACATACTTTATGAATGTTAAAGGCTTTCATAAAAAAAGTGTTCGATCCATTTCACTTGCTTCAACATAACCAAACACTTAGTTTATCTGCTTAATACCCAGGAACGAAAAACTAATTTTAAAATTTTGCATTTCAGGGTATGATCAATATAAAACCACTTAAACTCAGAACCAAGGGACCACAAATTTAACAGAAGCACTTTTGCTCGTGATAATCATGCATTTTACTAAATTTCAAAAAGCTAACATTTTCAATTTCCAGGTAGTAAGACTTTATTTTTTTTTTCACTTTTGATCGATAGAGATCTTGCCTATCATGAAAATCTTTACAAGTTATCAGGTGATCACAAAGTTAACGTCCCATTCCTAATGATATTAATGATATACATGGTTTAAGAGTGATTGCTAAACTTACAGGGGAGAAGAAATTTGAAAAACACATTTATTTTAAATACCGGTATCTGTAAATAATTTGAAATTTGAAAAACACATTTATTTTAAATACCGGTATCTGATTTTAAAGACTACAGTTACACCTACTCCTCTCTGAAATATTAACAATATTGAAGGAGAACCTTCAAGAGTATTGTGCAACAATATATTTGAGAAGTGATGTTAATCAGATATATCTACTAAACAATTCCAAGGAACTTTTGGAAACTTTGATATCATACAAATTTTACCGAAATCAACAGAATAAAAACTTGAGACTTTTCAACTTTATATACAACCATTTTCTAAGATAAAAAAGACCTATTTTTTATTCATATGAATCAGAATTTGTCCTAAATTTTATACATAAAAAGAAAAAAACACTTGCTAATGCATTCAACTCGACATTTAGATAAATCGACGACATATTGTCAACTTACTATGGTTATTTCCGTTCTTATTTCGAAACAACATATTCCAATTAGCTTGAAATAAAAGATATCAAAGAGTCTGGCACATCTGTTTCATATTTAGAAATTTATTTGATAAAGACATTAATGGTAATCTAAAACCAAAGCTTTGGGATAAAAGTGATGAATAAAACTTTCCAATCGTCAACTTGCCATACTTTTGCAGCAATATATCCTCATCACCTGCATACGACATTTCTCAGTTGAATCGATACGCAAGAGAATGCTCTACGAATGAACAATTTCTTAAACGAGGTAACGTATTGACAAACAAGTTGCTGCAGCAGGAATATCATTAGCTTGTTCAGGAAGAGTCATCATTTCGTAAGGTCTATGGTCGATAGAATGGCCTTGTCAGCAAAGCATAATTTATCATTGAGTCAAATTTTGACGTTTTTTAAACTAACTGTTAAACCAGACCATTATGTATACACTGAATTATCGACGAATTTTCCCGTTATTTTCCGATCATGACAAAGAGCACACGGCGGGTGAGACTGGTCATCAGGGGATGTTTACTAATCCTACCTCTGATGTTTTTAGTGGTCCGTTTTTGCTCTACTCCAATCTTGTATTGTAAATGAACTTTTGAGCTTGAATACTGTTCTTTGTCCCTATGTATTTCATTTACAATGATTTAACGGTTCCACGGTTCCAGAGAAGAAGTAAAAGATATAATCGGACGATAGATCACAACAGACAAAAACTCAGTGACAATCACAATCTTACTCACGACATAAGAAGGTCCAGCTTTAAACCGCTTAATGAGTTGAAATGACGGGGTGGCACTGTCATCTTTCGTCTCATCTGTAAGAATTATCAGTCATTGGCAATTTAAACAAACAGCAATAATTTTTATGAAAGTTTTACATTTTCTCATGTCGTAATATCAGTCTCTTTAATAAAAAGTTTCTTGATTGAGACTTGTTACTATAGAATGTCGTGTCCATTTTGAATAAATAGATATATATGCATACGTTTTACCTTGTACCTTGTACATAAAGTATCACTAGGAAAGAACTTGTATAAAACAGTAAAAATGAGATGTAAAGAAGTGATCAAATCTTAATGGGAGTTTAATTGGATTGATCAATGGTTATCCATGTGGATTTGTGGAAGCATTCAGAGAAATAGACATTAAATCAACTGATTAGTCTATCGTATGGTACATAAATACAAAGACGTTTGTCTTTGCAAAGACTCTTGAGTCAGTTTGAATATTTATTGGATAACGATTGGATATATTTGTAATACATTATTTGCATCCTAATTTTTCTACGGATCACTTCGAGAAAAGATTCACAGGGATTGTATTTTTTTTTAAAGTGTGTCCAATCCTCCAAGACACCTAACCCGAATTTTAGCATTTTCATTGAGTACTCTTTCATTTCGTATGAATTTTAATATTTAATTGCATGTTTGTATTTAATCAAATTTAATTTCAATAAGATATCTTTTTATTTATTTCATCTATAGTTAATATACATTAATTTTTTTTAATTAAAAGAAACCTACCATCAAACATAATAACTTCTACCGTGCCAATTAACCTGTCATTTAGCTGGTGATTCAATATCTCCTGGAGTTTGTAGTAAAATCTCTCTACTTCCATCACTCTTTGTTGGGCTGTAATATGTCCTAGAATTTCTTCAAACACTTTTCCTATTGTTCCAAAGGCACTGGGGATTTCTGCACAACAGTAGTACTGCTGTAACACACATAAAAAGATTCATTATGCCAGAAACTAAAAATATTTCTTGGTTGGTTGAAATTTTTCTTTCTTTCTACGGGTTAGTATATCCACTTAGATTTATATTGTATATCATATACATATTTAGAGTAAAAATTTCAAACTAAACGTAATGTAAGTACATCAGTATAAAATTACGCAAAATTTAACTGATAAATGATAAAAAACGGATAGCAAAAGGTTACCTGAGTGACTCAGGTGACCTAAAATAGTGTGCATGTAACATCATATCAGTGAAAGACTTTAAATTCCAAATTGCTCCCAAATGTACGAGGATCTCATACATGTAACTTTTATTTCCTTTCTCCTACCTGTCCATCATCATCTGACACCCGATAAACCACAGGTGTGTAAGTACGAGGGGAACCATCCACTGTTAACTTTAAGGAGAGTTTGTCAACCTCCGAAATTCTTGTGTCGTCTGTTAACTTAGGGGCCCTTCCTGATCGTGGCAGGAGAATAAAGAACTTTTCAAGAAATCTGCCAGGGTTTTCTCTGTATGCATCAGATTCTCTTATTTTTGTTGGAATTTCTGAAAATAGTATTTTCATGTACAGCTTGACTGAAGAATCAAGTACCTCCTATTCTAAAGTTTATCATTTTCAAATTTTCCATTAACAGAATACTTGTGAAAAGATTTGGACAGAAAAATAAGAGATATAAATGATATTCGAAATCAAAGTTTCTACAAGGAACTTTACCAGGAAGGATGAGTTTTAGATATCCAGTAAAGTGACTCCATGCCAGTCCTGTCGCAAAGTTTCCTGCCGGGATTACTTTTGTCAATTTTATATCATCCTCTGAGAAGGAAATATAATAATCGAAATATAAAAATAAACTATTTTGTACTAGGGAGGGTGTGCCTGTTCTTTAAAACAAGGCCAAGACTCTAGGACTTTTTAAAATGTAACAAAACGAAAAAACTTTAATATCCTTTTTGTAAAACAATACAACCAACTCAAACCATCTTTAGTAAAAAAAAAAAACGAAATTATTTGCTCTAAAAGTACTTAAAAACGTTATCAATGAAAAATTCTTTTAACAAATACATTTTTCAAGGTTAAAAGACAGACTTCATACTTCAGATTCCATTAACACATGTGCATCACCTTTAATGTGTCGGACCACAGCTTCCAGACATATCTCCTGGCGATTATAGTCCAACTCCACAATGGTGGCATTCTGTAACATGGGAATACTGGAGATGTTCTTCCGTTCGAATCCATGGAGCGTCAGTATCGTGAGACACAGCTGATCGGTTTTCACACACTTCTCCAAGGCTAAAAACGTCTCCAGAGAAAATCTGGCATTGTTACTATTTTGAGATAAAATAAGCAGCACTTTCCTGGCATTTTCGATGGCTTTACTTGTGGAGGGCATAATATTACCTCCTGGATATTCAATCTGTGGCAGAGCGTACGTCAACTCGTGCGAATCGAAATACTGTAGCACAGTTTTAAACACTTCATATTCATCATCTTGCTCATAGACAACAAGGGCGTCGCTTTCCCTGACCCTCTTTAGCCACGAGTCAAATTGATCTTCGTCGTCTGAGTCTCTATAGTTTGATTGAGCCATTTTACCTTATGATTTTTGACAGACGATCAAACGCTCAACTGAAGGAAACAAAAACAGAATGCATATAATATACATGTAATACAAACAAGTCTGTATGTCACCAAAGATATTACATGTACAACATTCTTATGAAACAGGTGGCAATTTGACCAATTTGATGAGCTGCCTTCAGCGAGGGTGTTATGGTATAAACTGAATTGAATCATGTCGCATCTTCCTTAACTTTATTTTGATTTCTATACATATCTGTGTTTGAAACATTCTTTTCTGTTCTCAGTGCTATTGATAGATGGATTTTTGAAAATGAAGCAGGATGAAATGTTGTCTTCTCCTATAATATCTACATCCTACAAGGACGTTCCTGTCAGATTTAAATTTTATATAATTTATGTTATTTTATCTCGACACTTTGTGGTTCATCATCATTCATTCTTTACAGATTTAATTACATTTGTAAACGAAATGAAAGTAGAACAAATAAATCAAATTCCTATCAAATATGTGAGGATCTCATCAGAAAATGAGATGTAACATTTCAAGAACGAGTCGGTTCTCTCTCCGTTATGGCACGCCAAATTCATAAAAATGAGCTAAACATTTATTTCACAGTTGATAGACTAGGTTTATCGACTGTAAACTATAGTTCACAAACCGTAAACTATACTTAACAATTCGTTAACTATAGTTTTCATCTGTAAAACCATATTTAACGGTTGTTAACTATAGTTTACTGAGTTTATCTGTCTGTAATAAAGCGATAACAACAGATTTTGTTGATAAACATGGCTTCACGTTTGTAAACTATAATTTACAATCGAAAACTATAGTTGTTAATCATAGTTTCACAATCGTGAAACTATATTTATTAGTTAACAGTTAACTATAGTTAAGAGTTGTAAACCATAGTTTACAAATTGTGAAACTGTATTTATCGGATAATCTATATTTTGCAATCGCAAATGATTGTTTTCGGTGATAAGTATAGTTTACGGTTGTGAAACATAGATTATCGCGTTAACTATGGTTTACAGATGTACAATATAGATTAACAGTCCTTAAACTATAGTTTATAACCGATAAACCTAGTTTATCGATTGTGAAACTATGATAAGCTCATTTTTGTGAATTTGGCGTGCCATACTCCGTGCTAAAAACAATTTAAAAGTATGTTTTCATAAGAAATTTTAAAAACCAAGAGGGAATGAACCTTAATATTTTTTAAATTACCAATATAAAATTAATAATTGAAAGAGGCGTTGATTGTTCTTGTTTCAAAGAAAATTTTGGACTGATTTTGGTTGCCATATATAGAGAGTTAAATTAAAAACGAAAGTAGATTTTATAAACAAAAAATAAAAGGTTTATAAACATTGTGAATAGCGAACTCAGGATGTGAATAAAGGCAATTAAGCTTAAAATTATTTCAAACCTCGTTTTAAACAGTTATTCCATGTTCTGTATACCAGCCAAACTCTTTGTACAGCTACGTGACTTTGGAATGAATTGTGTCTAAAATTGGAATCAAAGTTTTCCTGTTATCATTTATCGTGTTACTTTCGTTTTGTGTGTATAAGTATAAATATAACATATAAATACTTATATTATTATGATAATTCAAACGTTTATGTAAATTTTGATATACAATAGCACAGATGAATATAAAAAATGAATTCAAACCTACCTTTAATTCTTGTTACGGAATGCATATATGTGGTTGTATGGACATTTTGAACAGTGAAAATTTCCAAACTGTCATGGATATCCCGGCTTGAATTTTTTTCCTTAGTACTTTCTTATTGGACAAGGTTAAAGTTTTTTTTGTAAGTTAAGAAATATTTCAAACTGAAATATACACTTCCAATACTTTGTAGCAAACGCCGTTATGGGAGGGGGAAGCAGTCTGTTTAAAAAATCCGATTTCATATTATTATATATATTCATTTTATAAAAAAGATTCAGAAAAACTCGAATAGTCATTTTAATTAACTGGCTTCACCAAAAAACACGTGATAGATTCTTAGCGCTCCAGATTAATGACAAAACTTATGAATTGAATTTTTAAAAATTATATGCATCTCATTCGTAAATTAAACGTATAAGCATGGACCCTAACAGGTGAAAATCAAATACGATTCGGAAAGAATTTTAACACTACTTCATCTTAATGTAATAATGTATTTCCATCAGTAAATCCATTTAAAGAAGAACAGAATAGCATACCGGTAATAGAGTACTTTTGAGAATATTCATAATTTAGAGAATAAAGAATGTAATTTCTGTACTGAAAGGAAAAAGAAACGCATAAGAAAATAAGATGCAAAAATATTTTGACTATGTGGCTGAAAATTATGAATTTTAATCATATCCGTTAATTAGTAATTCTTCACTAAAATCGATGGTCAAAACTGCGCAAACCATGAAATGTATGGCGTCAAGTTGGAAAGTGTTAAAAAGTCAAAAACACACGCAAATTGATGATGACAATTTTGTGATCACAATTTGTAGTGCCAAATGGTACATTAGAGTAAAAGACATCATTTTTCAATATTTGATATCATGGTATGGTTAACGGAGGTTACATGGGGTCCAGTAATTGAATTAAAAGGCAACAACATGTTGATGTACAGTTTCTTTTGAAATTTTGATACCAAATTTTTTTTCCAGTTGTGAGAGAGTAACTTGAAATGTTTCCAACCAACCTTGACGGTGACGTTGGCGCGTAACAACGTCGCATCAAGATAGGACTTTATGTCACCTCAGTTATCGTCAAAACATTATATCTGAAACCGATATTTATGCTACAGACTATCATACTCATAATTTTCACCCGAATACTGACAGAAACTCTATGCTCTAATTTGGTCCGCGAGCTTGGCAACTTTATGTCGTCAATTTTACTCTCACACGCGCACGTACGCGTCGTATGTGTAATGTTTTTCACATGTTCACACTGGGAAAATGTAGCCAGTTTTTGACGAGATTTCTTACAAACATTTACGTATACCAAATCAATTAGATTCTGTTTATTCTATACATATATATCTTAAATCGAAAATTTAAGGGAACCATTGGGTGGGGGTTGGGGTTGTGGGTTGTTGTTCGCTTTTGAATGCTACAGCTACTTTCAACCATTAAGACTACCGTCCAAAGGGTTGAACAATAATCCTATGAGAAAGAAAAATGCTCTGATAAACTCAATGCACTGGAAAATCAAGGGTGTTTCTGATGCTCAAGGGAGATGAAATGATGAGAATTTTTATTTTATTTTTTGGGGGGTATTGACATATCAATTTCAATAACTCTTGAATTATCAAAGTCACACAAGATTTTGGTAACTTGTTGATTTAAGGTCAGACGACACGTTCTTCAAAATATATCTTTCGTATCTCTTTACATATTATCTAAAAATATGCTTATTTGTCATTCTCTTGTGATTTCTACATTGTCTTCAATATGTTTTTAAATATATGTACATCAACAATTATGATAAAGGCCATTCAGATTATTACCCATATGGACATATAAGAAATATGACCCTGTTTTTCTTGTCCAAAGCCTGATAAGGTACCCTAATTTTTTGTGAGTAAACACGTTTAAGTATCCTGACTTCAATTAATGACAAATTATTGGGAAAAGATATATATTTTTGAGGAACGTGTCGTCTGACCTTAGATGAATTAAAATGTTTGATAACAATTCTGAAAAACATATTCGATATAAAATAGTTTTAATTTAATTCAATACTGTTTCTTTTCCTTTCAGTATATTTGCATGTTGAATTTTGAAAGCAACACATATCAATGGGCACTAATTTTATAAATTAATTAACTGATGTAGTATATACATTGTATGTCAGAGAATATATAAGTAATGTTTTTATTCAAATCTCATCGTAAGTATATGTATTAACTTTTTTCCCTACAGTTTATTTTTAGAAAAAAATGTTGAATGATGGTGTGCGTATCGGAGTCGAATTACCTGGGCTATGTGACCTCAACTGCGGGATGAAAAAATGTTAGCTATGTGGACAATGGTTGTCTTTCTAATCCTCGTTCCGGTCACACAAGCTGCTCAGGATTACGTGTTTGTGTCGGCATGTCCTCTTGGATCCTCAGAATGGCAGACTGAGGCCACACGGAAAAATTGTCAAGAGCCAACGCCCGACTATCTGTGTGCAGCGATAGAAAATTCCCCTGGCCAGTACGGCGAAATTTGCACCAAATATGGTTTATCCCCATCAGGTATTCATAAATGGCTATTACTTAATTTGCATAATTTATTGATTATTTGATTCAATGAGATTTATTTTTTTCGATTCGGTTAGGTCTGTTTTATGGCATTTGTCAGATATATGTCAGCGAAGGAATGCAGAGTGTGTAATTTAAACTACAGGTCTATTTTTGTTGTATATGGAATGCCAAAGGCTAACATAAATAAATGTATGTAGACGTATTAGACTACTTGGCTTGCCTGATACTAGTAGTAAAACCGACTATGATCAGATGTGCTGAGCTAGACTTAATGCATGAACTAAATAAATCTCCTTTTTAATCACTGCTAGTCTAATAGGAATTTGGAACGAAATTCGAGTGCAGATTTAAGTGCTCTAAACTATTCACTATCAGTTTTATACCCAGTAATCTCCATTGTGTCTGCTATTTAGCCCTTTTTGGTTTATAGTCATTACGATGAGAAGACACCTGAATCAAAATTTACATTGTTACAATATATTTATATTAGATATTATAAAAAATTCCACATAAACCTTACGTAATCAATATATACTGAAAGGAAAAAGAAACGCATATGTCAATTTTTCAGTGCAAAATTCTAATTGTGAAAAGTAACTACCTATTTTTTAGAGTTTTTTGTTGATAAGGGCTTCTGCACTGAAAATAGCCACAAATTCAATCATCCGTGACTATCCAGAAATAGATTTCTTTGTTTGTGCGTTTTCATGAAAAATGTGTTTTAATCGAACACACTCGGTGCTTGTCCAAGCAAATTGTTACTTTTCAGTAGTTTTTCAACCGAGCATACATTTTTGCACTTTAAATTTCAAAAATTTTCCCCGCATACATATGCCACGCCTAGGAAATGCACAGAGGGCTACTGCTTTAGCATGCATGCTGGAGGGCTTGTCATACATTTTGATCGCTAGACGTTTAGGAGTCTCCCAATCAACAATATCTCGACTTAATGATCGAGTCAGAGAGACGGGGAACATCAATGACCGTCCACAAAGTGGTAGGCCCCGGGCGACCACACCCCGGGAGGATCGAGCAATCCGACTCTCACACTTGCGGGACAGGAGTAGGACGGCTGTCTATTCAGCACCCGTCTTCCCTCGAAGAATAAGTGAGAAAACCATTCGAAACAGGCTTCGAGAATTCGGTATAAGGGCCAGGAGACCATATGTGGGACTATCATTAAATGATAGGAGACGGAGGGAGCGACTTGATTGGTTTCATCGACATGCACCTTTTAGATACAGAATGCGACAGTGGAAAAAGGTTCTCTTCACTGATGAATCAAGATTCACTCTACATAGAGCAGATGGTCGTAAAAGAGTTTACAGACGGTGCGGAGAACGTTTTGCAGACGCATGCGTAGTAGAGAGAGACCGCTTCGGTGGGGGATCCGTCATGGTATGGGGAGGCATTGGTTTTGGTCGGAAGATGCCTCTTATAGTGATAAATGGAAACTTGAACGCTGTGCAATACCGTGACCGCATTCTTTCTACCGTCGTCCCTTATGTTCAGCAGCATCAACTGACTTTGCAGCAAGATAACGCTAGACCACACGTTGCACGTGTCTGCCGGGAATTCCTGCAAGCTCAAAATGTGAATACACTTGAATGGCCACCATACAGCCCAGAATTATCGCCCATAGAGCATCTTTGGGATGAGATTGACAGGCTCATTCGCCGTCGCCCACAAGCCGCCCAGGATCTTCAGCAGCTGACAGAAGCAATCGTTGAAGAATGGAATAGGCTTCCACAACGCACCGTTATTAATTTTTGAGTTTTCAAATCTGGACCACACCTTGTTTAGACACTTGTTACAGCCACTACAGGGCTTCATGTCTAAATATTGTAACCTCAATTTAATGAAAAAATAATGTAGATTATGTACATGTATAATAAAACTTGAAAATTTTCTTTGTTAATTGTTAAAGTTATTTACGTTTGATTTTTATTATGCGTTTCTTAATCCTTTCAGTATATTTAGATGAAGTACATGTAAGTTTTATGTTGTATTCTTTATATATTCTTCAAATATTCTATCTTCAATACAAGATGTATCAATTAATTATTTTTAAGCATGCGTAAACATTTAGATATTTTTTGATGTAATATATGTAGATTGATTTTTCTTTTATAATTCAGCACCTTCCTCTGTTAATTGCACAATCACTTTCATTATTTGAAATTAAATCAGAACATTTCAGATCTTTTAAAAAATATAAAAGATCTTAAATGCCAGCATTGCATTGGATTCTTATATTCTACTGTATATCATTTCCGATTTGTGTTTAAACTTTTTCTCAAGGTAACCATTTTTTAAACCATTTTCCATAGTTTCGCCTTGCAATCGTTTTTCTTAGAAAAAACTTCTTTCTTCTTTTACTTGTATTCCCAACGACTCTTCGTTAGCAAAAATTGAAAAAAAAGTTTTTCTAGCACTACCTATATCCTAAACTTTCACAATTTTGACTAACTATCAAATCAATAAATTTTCCTGTTGCATGTCTGTTTTCTAATTTTCTATTTCACATTTTAATTGTACATTTTTGTCCGTTAGTAGAGGCAAAGATTATCCAATATTTAAAGAAATAATTATTACCCCCCCCCCCTTCTCTCTCTTGTGCCCCTTAGTGATAAAGTGTCCCTCACCCTTTTATTAGGGACGTGTGCAGTTCTCAATGAACAGACACATAACTTGGACTCCGTTCCATGTGAGGCACCAGCCGGATGCCCAGACAAACCCTACAACCCAGGAGAACTTTATAATTGTGAGTATTATTCTTTTCAAAATATAAACTCTTCATTGGCATGACGTAAAATAAAAGAGTTATATTAAATATATTTAACGTCTTTTCACTATTATATATGTGTTTAAAAGCTATTTAACGTCTGTTCACTATTATAGGGCCAATCTGCTTTGAAGATTTTTATGGAAAAGAAAGGTAAATGCAACATACCTCAATTAAGGATTCGTTGTCTAGTTTGTTGGGTATGCCAGGTATAAACGATAGTTGGAAATGTAGGTTTTGCATAACGGGCGATGCCCTTATAGAGTTATGCATAGCCAAATGTCGTTAATGTCCCTGGCGTACCAAACACACATACTAGGCAGGGATTCCTTATACTATTATGTACATTTGGATATGAAATAATATTATAAATATAAATCAAATATGCTGTCTTATAGTCAGTAGCCCCCGCCCACTAACGCCAGACAGAATGACAGTTGCACGAGATTGACATGCATATCAGGTACTTAGCCTTTGACTAAGTGGCAAACGTTACATTCAGGTGTAATTATCAAGAAATCGACTCGCTTAACTTTCAAAGAATTATCACAGAGAAAACACTCACAAATGTAAATGATTGTTTATATATATTTTTTTTTCAAAAAGAAGTTTGCCATTTTTGAAGAATCTTAACTACAATGTCTTGTACAAAGATTAGATTTGGGTGTAATACCAAGCCTTTAGTTACTTTTTTCGCTTTCTCGGCGGCTCTTTTTACCAGCATAGACTTACCTACTAATCCTCCACATGTACTTCTGTACATAAATCTTATTCCGCATTTAAATATACTGTAGAAATACAAATACACCACTAAATAAAAAAAAGTCAAAAATGCTCTTAAAACAAATGGTATTTTTCGTTTATGTAATAATTAAAATGATTAATTTATTCAATTTCGATCTTCCGTGTTTAAAAATGTAATCATTTTGAAGAAAATTTACAAAATTTCAGATTTCCAGTGGATGAAGGGGTAAACATGTGATAAATGCATGCAGTGTCCTTTATATAATGTTTTGAAAGTGATGCTCACTTTTGCTTTAGCTATTAGTAGTGTAAAAGAAATAATATATAACATTTTTAAGCATTCAGGATTGTTTTATATGTTTGATGTTGTAGAAGTTAAAACAACACTTAGGAGTTAAAAATAATATTTCTAACTCCATGTAATGATTAATGACCAATCTCGAAAACAAATGAACTTGTTGACAAGGAAATTATATCATAATAATATTACTGATAAATGTACCTATATTTTTTTCCTATTTAAATCAAGATTGAGAAAGCTTGTTGATTTTCACTTGTACGTGCTGAATATATTTTTCATTATAATTTATTATCATTGCTCTTGGCTTTTATTTTTACTTATAGGACTAAATCAACCATAAGAACAAAGGTTTATGAAATTACAACACAACTGTGGAATACAACGTTCGTTGATGCGTATGTATACTTACTGTGATTTTTCAGAGGGTTCATTTTACAATAGCATCTTCATTTAGGAGTTATAGTGTACTTTGCTAAAATAATCGTTGCTTTTGGATATTAAAAAGTTCTTAACTTGATGGCTTCTTATTTATCAAGTGACAGTACCGGTGATACACAAGATGGGGATGGTGGACTGGTTACCGGGATCATCCTAGCGCTACTGCTCATCGTAGTTGTCTTCATTGTAGCTCTTTGTATTCTGGATATGAGGAACAATTGGGGCTTGAGGAAGGCCATAAGAAAACGTGTTACAAGTAAAACATCAACCACAGTATTTCAATATATTTATTTATATATCATATGCGCTATTTTTTATTTGAAAGAAATAAAACAAATACCTAAATAATACTTTAATAATGAGAAATTGTTACTTATTCAGCAAAATATACATGTCTGAGTAATCTTAAAATATTTAGAACATTTTTTAAAAGGTTTTAAAGCACAATTGGTTGATAAATATTTGATAAAATAAAAAAGTAATCAATATGTTATAGTGAGGAAATTTAATTTTAGATCAATTTGGCCGATTACATGCTCAGAGAATAGAAAGAGTCACAACAAGAGGTAATTAAATATAAGGTATCATACATAAATATTTTTTGTTCATTTCTATCAATGAATGTTATAAAAGCTCTGATATAATATATTTTTTTCAATAGGGTCTGACAGTCTATTGGTAAAGGGAAACACATTCATTTTATCATGGAAAACAATATTTAAATCTCATTTATCTATTTGAGGATTTAAATTATACTGATTGATTAATGACAACCAAGGTTAATTTAACTTTAAAAATTTCCTCGATGCATATTAAGACTTTTATGCTATAACCTGCTAAGTAACTAATTGCTAAGCCCAATTAAACTTTTTTTTAGCTTATTTCTCTTGTCCAACATGCAGCATGTGCATAACCGCTGTGCATTTAAGCCAGCAGAATTAAGACGTTTTTTTTAAATAAGCACAATGTTTTCTGTAAAAAGAACACCATGCACATTACATCCTCATTTCCTCATACTTACCATTGATTGTAAATCAATAAATGTAACCGTATGAATTCGATTTTGATAAATTTAAGATGAAGAACAAGCAGAAAATGAAGATAATTTCGGAAACGAACGTTTGCTGCCAAGTAATACAGGCAATGATTTTCTACTGTCAGGTAATATATTATCTATGATAATCTAACCATTACAATATGGAAATAAATGATTATATAAACCATAAAATAATTAAAGGATTTCATTACCTCATTCAAAAGAGATGTATAGATTATTTTCTTATTAATGATTTACAATTTTCGAACCATTTTAATACAGGCAACGATTTTCTGCTGTCAGGTACTATTATATTATATATGATATTCTAACCGTTATGATACAATATTGAAAAAAAATGATAATTTAAACCATAAAATAATCAAAGGATTTCATTAGATCATTCAAATGATAATTTTGTTATTAATGATTTACAATATACGAACCATTTTGGGGCATAATGCCATTTGAGATGCCCAGGCCTAACTAAAAACTAGGTCTGATAAGAAAATGGTGTGAGTACATATATATGTAGGTTATTTATTTTTTTTTTTTGTATAAAATATATGTACACAATGTATATTTTGAACTATTGTCAAAAAGAGATAACAAGGCAATTCAGAGAATCTGTTATCTTTCTGAAAGAAAAAAAAATTATGCGCGGATCTAGATTGTTGGGGTTGGAAGACACTTTAAGATGGATGAACGGGACCATAGGGAGTTATGATATAAAATTACTGAAAAAAGTCAAAATCTTCTTGACAAATTGCCCAGATTTACACACAGACAGAAAAAATAAATTTGTGACATTGAACTTTGGACCTTAAAATAAATAAGGGTTTCCTTAAGGTAAAAGGAACCATGATGTGATATTTATTGCAAAATCTGAAAGTCTTTTCAAGAAATCGTGCAGAAACAAAAGTGTTCATTAAAGCAGACATAATTTAAAAGTTTATGACCTTGACCTTTAGCCCTCGAAATTAATAGCAGTGGCGGATCCCAAAATTTTGAAAAAAAGGGGGGACGACCAGTTTGGGGTCAGGGTAGGGGTCCACAGAAACACCCCAAAACATTGATTTATCAAATCTTGTGTATTTTTAGGACATAAAAGGGGCGGGTCCCCTCTAAACCCGCCAGTGAATAGGGATATTCTTTGGTTCATAGAGAATTTTCTATTTTAACCAAATTTGGTACAAAGCATTCTTGGGTTAAGGAGAGTTAAATCTGTAAAAAATGAAGGGCCAAGGGAATCAAAGTTTTACATAGAGATATATAGGAAAAATCTTTAAAAATCTTCTTCTCAAGAACCACTGGGCCAGAAAAGCTGAAACTTATGTGGAAGCATCCTGGGAGTAGTGTTGATTCTAAATTGTACAAGTAATGACCCCCAGGGGTAGGGTGGGGCCACAATAGGGAATCAAAGTTTTACATAGATATATGTAGGAAAAGTCTTTAAAAAACTTTTTCTCAGGAACTTCTGGACCAGAAAAGCCGAAACTTATGCGAAAGCATCCTAGGGTAGTGTAGATTTTAAATTGTTCAAATTATGACCCATGGGGTCTCAATATGTATTACAAGGGGGAAATCTGGTAAAGAACAGCATGGTCTAAGCTACTCAGGTGAGCGATGTGGCCCATGGGCCTCTTGTTTAGTCAACAATATTCTAAGTTTACATTGTAATTTCAAAATAAAATGTCAGCTAAAGGTTTCAGTAGGATTTACATTTATGTAATTACATGTTAACACTTCATTTTGTGATTAAGTATTTTGCTTTGTATAGTAGAAATTGTATGTATTGTTTACCTTGTACATCTCAGAAGCTTGTAATATCTATAAGTTGTGAATTATGATTGTAGATACGTATGAAGAGCCATTATCAGGATTAAAGACTACTACAGGTTAGAAAAGCAAATAGTTTCTAGAGTTTGTCAACAAAAGACAAACAGCTAACATGTCCGTATAGTTGGTTTATCTAACATGATACGATTATTTTAGCACATTCCTATGTAAACAGAGAAAGAAAAGCAAAGTTACCCTGTAGTACAATAATTTGGCTATTTTAAAATTAAAAACCCTATTGGTTATTGTACCCCCCCCTGCAAACAAAGTTTTTGGGTAGGTGGGGGATGGGAGTGGATATATAGGAATCAACTTGTCTATCTGTTTTTGCAAACGTGTCTGGTCAGTATCTTTCTAATGGAGAAACATTGGTATCTACTGCTACAAACAAAAATTGCTCGTGGTCTCAGGTGTGTCACGACCTTGACCCAATGTTTTTGTTCAAGTTCAAGGTCACAGAAAGAAAAAAAAAAACATAATTCGTGTTCGGACCTTATGACTTGATCATTACGTCGCGGATTCGAATCCCACTGTGGGACGTTTAGACCAGTCCTTCGGATGAGACTGTATAAACCGAGGTCCCGTGTCGCATTGAGTGATGGCACAAAAAATGTTCCTCACTGTTCAATGGCCATGAGTGTCGCGTATAGGACAAAATTTGTAGCTCTCCATCGGTAAGTGGTGGCGTCCCGATAAGAGTTTAAAGATTCTCGAGAGAAACGTTAAACAACATACCCCAGTACATTTAATAAATCTTTCTTATGTATGAACTAAGTGAGTTTCCATTTACACAAAGATTGCTTATGACATGAGGATGTACCTTGACCTTGGAACAAATGCTTCTGTGCAAGTTCAGGGTCACTGAAAGAAAAATGACATATTCTTGTTTGGTCTATAACTGTCTTATGCAAAACTTGAATCTACGACTTCACAGAATCTTGCTTATGATCTGAGAGTGTGTCATGACCTTGACCCAAAGTCAAGTTCATTAAAAGAAAAAAGTGCATAATTTGTGTCTAGTCCATATCTTTTTTATGGATAAACATGGTAAGTTCCTCTTAAATAGAAAGATTGCATAAAGTCTGAAGTTGTGGCATGACCTTGACCTAAGGTCATTTGTATAAGTGCAAGGTCCTTATGTAAGTAGCTTGGTCAATAGGAGGCCAAATGTAAGCATCAATGAGAACATCAAATCGAAACTGTTAGTGTATTGGGCTACATTTTGGTCATAATGAATCAATTTGTACTTTGGTAACGAATCACAAAAGGTAAATCAAATGACGAAATGGACAGAAAAAAAATAAATATTTGATAATTAATATGAAATATTTGATGACATAAAGTTCATATAAGAAACTGCAATCTTATAGACATACGACCAACTCAGCCTATCGAAGCACTTCAGGAGGAGGATATAGAATGGAATACTTTAAGGGTAGATAGAACAAAACAAAACGAATTGAAAACAATCTTAAGTTATTTTATAAAATCCGAAAGAACACTAGACTAATAATAAAATATTGAAACCATTACAAACAAACCTTTAACAAAATGCATAAAAGTACTCTGTACTTTCTGACCTCCACTATAGAATATTTAAAGCAATAACCTTTCTAATAGATTAAAAAAATTCAGTTTTACAGTAACAAAGACTAGTGTCTGATATAAATTGAAATGTCATAATACCTTTATATACATATTAACTGTATACGAACATCATGCAATAAAAAAAATTATTGTGATCTACAATCATAGTGTTTTGACAAAAACCTGATTACACCAAGTAATCCAAAATGACAAGTAAATATTGCCTCTAAATTTTGGTGTCATAATTCAAAATGTTTTCTTATAGGAGATGGTGTATCATTTGTTGGAGGAACCATATCATGGAAACTTACAATTCTTCAACGCTATCTTGTTGTTTGTCTAAAACATAACATAAGCATCGAGGACTTGAAAGAAAAATTCATTCTATTCAAAAGCTCTCTGGACGAACATTTTAACGAAGTATTGCTAGAACCCTTACAAAGCCTAAAGTCTTTGAAGGATTATGAAAAAATTGATGTGTTGGTAGTTTACAATCTTCTTCGTAATGTTTGTGAACACATACAGCCGCCTAAACGAGGATGGGACTACGAACCCGATGATACTGATTTAGGACTGGGAGCTGATATTGAGAGGGTACGTTTAATGTGGAATAGATACTGCGATGGGAAGACTGTTTTTGATGACATTGACGCTCTATATGGAAGAATGCAGAAAAGATATGGAAATACTGAGGTGCAAACTTATGAAGAGAAGGATGTCGACGAGTGCTTAGTGCCTTTAGAAAAAATATCGCCAAGTAAGTGCATATTATTATTTAAAGAAAACTGTCTTCGTTGCATATTTGTATATGATACTTTTATGGTACAGTGTGTACCAATATCGGTAGAGATCAATTACTGTTGAGAAATTGTCTTTTCGATATATAAAGAATGACAATTAAAATATAAATGTATTTATTGATAGGTGTTCAACTAAAGCCAGCATGCGAAGTTATAAGTGGGGTTGTCACAAGAAAACAAATAACGTTGGTAAAGGAAATCCTAAATGAAAGTAGTTTAGTGATTTGTAAAGGTGCCATAGGATGCGGAAAGACTAGTTTTTTGAAATACTTCGATGAGCTATACAGAGGTTTAGGCTGGGTTGTAAAATGGAGGGAGGAGGTGGTGAATAGTCCTGATGTCGATATTAAAGAAAATGAGGAGGTTCTGTTATGCTGTGATAACTTTTTTGGAACTTATGAAAGATGTGTCTACAGTGTCACTTCAGAAATTATTGATTGTTTGAATCATCCAAAGAAAAATGATGGAAGTGGCCAACTGAAAATCTTGCTGGCTATCCATGATCATGTCTACGATGGGTTGCAGAGTAATACATCTTTAAATATTCTACAAAACAAACGAGCCGTAGTTGACTTAAACGAGTTAACCGATGCTGAACAGATGCTTATTTTTAAAGAGCAAAGAAAGAATGGTCATTGTACCATTGATCCGAAATGCTGGTTCCGGAAGGTTGACTTTGAATCTTTGAAAAATGCGTTAAAAGGGAATTCAGGATTAATCGGTGATCCAGCTTTAAGTTTAATATATTGTAACCATCATGACATTTTTGCCAACAAAGAAGCCACGTTAAACCCTCTGAAAACGTTGTGTTCTTTATTTCAGAATATTTCGTCAGAAAAACCAGATTTATTCAATATTCTTGTGTTCACCATGTTTATTAAAACCCACACCTTTGATAAAGAGATGCCAGACTGGGCTGCAGCAGAACCGTTTGGACTAACAACAGATGACATCCAGGAAAATATCCGGCATCTTCATGGTTATCTTCATGTTTCTGTTGATGGAAGGACAATGAAAATGAAACATGAACTGCTCAGCATCGCTTTGTTCCACGTTTGTGCAAGAAATCCTATCTATCTAACAGCCCTTTTAAATCATTGCCACTTTGGGATGATAGAACAACTCCTTCGTCCACCCATCATTGAAACCCAAGCAGGATTTTCAATCATTTTGGATGAAACCAATTTTCAAGCACTAATTTCTAGAATTATGAGGGACAATATGTATGTAAACCTTCTAAATCATCCTTTCATGCAAAATAATAAATTCTGTTCGAATTTGAAAAATAGTTGTCCAGATAACCTATGGAAACTTTTCTTTAATAAAAAGTGATATATTCTATTTAAGAGAATTGAAATCATATATTCGACTTTCCCTTATATTTTAATTTTAAGAAGTCAAAACACTATAAAGACATAGAAATAATTATATTCTTACTGTTCCTTTTGAACGTATTTTTCAAAATTGAAGAGTTTCAACTTTCTGATTGGTTGACTATAAGCAACAAATTAGCATATTTCACGGCGATAATTCGGCTAGTTTGTCCACGAATGATGAGTAAAGATAAGATCACCCTTGTCTGACGATGTGTAATTGTTTGTGTATTGTATTTATACCTCAGTAATTTTCTTGCAGTTTATAAATTCATGTTGTGAGTTTATCATTTTTTCCTAAAACTGTGTAACACATGTAGTTCAAACTTTATAAACTTCTCATGTGGGGAGAGGGCGAAATAAGTTTTAAGAACTTGTGCCCAATCCCATTGTATATTTATATAATAGATATATTACAATAAAATATGTTCAATTCAGGTTCCGTTTTGCAAGATCAAAATAAGTTACATCGAGCTAGAAAATAACAAACAGCGATTGACCTAAAAAAAATCTTTTAACAATACAAATCTCCAGATAGGGCATAAAACGGGCCGGCTCACACCCGATTTGAGCTGTATGTATTAAGTAGTCAAATTCAGAAAAAAAAAGAAACCAAACAAAACACAGGCCTTTCAAGTCCGATACCACCCATTGACAGGTTATGTTAACTTAGAAGGTCATTATATCGAGCATAGAATTTACGAAATGCCGACTTGAACGAGGTAGCTGAATCCCTGTAACAACAATTTATCAGTTAGTAGCATGTCTCGATCGTACCCTTGTGTAGAGAAGAAGTTGGGACACATAAACATCATAAGCACCATCAGATGGAATATTACTACACAAATAAGGAACGTTGGTGGTGGGAAATCTGAAGTTGTCTCTATTGTCTTACGATTTGGTTTCTTGTTGGCCTTTATGGTCTTTAGTGAGTGAAACATTGAAATATGAAACAGATATGGCAGACTGTATATTATCTTTAAAGTTCACTGGGATATATCGTGTTGACATATGAATGAAAATAAATATTGTTAGGTGATAAGACATCAAAATCGAGATATTTCTTTTGTCGAATTGTAGGCCACAACAATTGTTTTCCATTTCTCATGTGGATGTTATTTGTAAAATAATCTCTGTTTCATAGGAATATAAAAATAGAGCAGCTAAATATATTCCATTTCGAATCATTTGTTATTTTGAACTCCTTACTTAGTGTACTTTGAGAGCACGGGGTTTGCAATTTCTTGTTTTTTTTTTTATTTTAGAGTAAAACAATTTAGTGTTTTGTGTTTTTACGAAATAAAATTAATGTAAGACAAAAAATTTGCAGAATTTAACTATAAATTATTGAATAACATTCTTTGCAACAATTTGTTTTTAAGTAAATGGAATAGTAAAATAAACAAATATTGTAAACTTTGTCAGAATCAAATAGAGAATATAAGACATTTAATTTTTGATTGTAAAAATGTTTTTCAAATATGGAATACAGTCAGTGAATATGTTGGCTTTACTGTACAATGGAAACATATTGTTATCGGATTTTATGCCGATCAAAATAATACAACAAGACTGTACAATATTTTGTTTTCTTTTATTGCATATAAAATATACAAACACAAAATGTATTGTCGAATTGATGATACTGAAGAATGTGAATATTCTTTGATACATGCTCTAAAAGACTCTGTTATGGCATATGCAACTGTAATGAAATTTATGAAAAACACTAATGAAGGACTCTACTTTAAAAAATTATCATTGAGATTATAAAATACAGAATCCTTTGAATTAAAAAAATATTTTAAATACACACTCACTGCAGGATGGGTCAGTCATCCTGTTGAAACTCAACCTGGAGGTAATGTGAACGGACTCTTAAGATGTGGTTTTACCTCCGGTTGAAAATGAGTGTACATGTATTCCATTTCTTTATATTTATAAAACCATCATTATAAAATCAAATTATCATTATCTGTATATATAATTATACAATTATTATTATTTTTCTATTGTTTACTATTTATTTTTGTTCTTTCTTTTTCTATATATTTTATTTCAACTGACCAATCTTTTCTATGTACACATGATGTCACCAACTTTTCAAATGTTATAGATAAATATGTAAAATAGCTGATTAATTGTTTACATACATCATTATGAAATATTTGTATGTTATTGACAATAAAAAAAATAAGAAAATAAAAATTATCAAAAAAAAAAAAAAAAAAATAGATCAGCTAAAAAGGAGCACAACTAATATCCATGGGAATTCCGACATTTTTTTTTTAAAACTTGGTATCTGAGTACTACATAAATGCTGCCAGATAGAAACTCAAGGATCATTTTAATTTCATTTTCCATAAAATGTGACAAATTCCTAGTTGCGTTTTTATTGAAGTAGTTTTCCATGATACCAAAACTTCTAGATTTAAATTTATCGAGAGAGTCATAATTTTTTTTATGTTATATACTTTTGAAAAGTTTGGTTATATTAAGGTTCTAAAAGTCTTTAGGCCCTGTCACACCAAGCTGCGTCCACATGCAGTCATGAGAAGAGATAGTGCTTTTATATTAAACCTGTGTATTACCTCAGACAATGCCTTTAGAATATCCCATTTTTGACCTCTTGACCTTAACTTTGAAGCTTGACTTACTTTTCAAAAATGTTATTTTTCCTTATAACTCTTGAATTTTAAAAGTGATAGAGCTTTCATATTTGACATGTGCATTAACCGTGACAAGATATTTCCAAGCATGCCATGATTTATGACCCCTTGACCTTCACAATTGACCTTATCTAAAAAAAATCGACTTCGACGATAACTTCTAAATGATATACACAAGCAATACAATATGCATGTCATAAAAAATGACATCTCACCCACAAAGACACCGAAAGCGGGGGACCACAAGTCTTTTAAATTTGCTTGTTAAAAGTCAACACGGATCAAGAATTTTTTATACTGGAATTTCATTTAGATGAGATAAACCCAAATACTTTTTTATTATCCCATCATAAGTCAAAGTACAGTGCCTTAGTGCCAGGTTTGGGGCCCTGGGTTTACTATGCTTACAAGATTATAAAACAAAAATAATGCTTATCATATGAGAGGGCAATTTTTTTTCTTAACTCATTCACTCATCACCCACTACATAAAATGCATATGTTTATATCAAAAGCTAACAAAAGATATGTTAATATTGTCATCATTGAAAAATACACATCTGAAACTGCAATTCTGTAGGAAATAGCATTGTTACAACGCTAAATGTAATAACAACGCGAAATGTAATAAACCTGGATTATTACATTTTGCGTTATTAAATTTTGCGTCGAAATCAACGCAGAATGTAATAACGCAAAATGTAACAACACACATTTGAGGATTATTACATTTCGCGTTATTACATTTTGCGTCGAGATCAACGCAAAATGTAATAACGCAAATTGTAATAATACGATTTTTGGATTATTACATTTTGCGTTGTTACATTTTGCGTCGAGATTAAGCAAAACCCAAAATGTAATAACACACCTTTTTTCCTCAGACAGATTGAGTACAATTTTCAATATTGTAGTGAAAAGTAAATAAAACAAAAGGGAAAAAATAGAAATATGCAATTTCTTACAATTAATAAATTTTATAATATATTGATTTAATTAGCTACATGTAAAATAGAAAATCAGTTTAATAAACGTATTTTGTATAGGTGTTGCAAATTAGAAACGTGCACAGTTGTTAAGGGGGGGGGGGTTATTGCAATTGACCAGTGTGCTTTTGCTTTTTTGTACAGACAAATGCAATTTACTTGTATGTAAAAAGAAAAAAAAAGCTTATTCATTTGTACTGGCAGATGTAAATATAAAGCGGGAAGGGGTTTATTGACAATAATGATACCATTCTGTTCCATGCAAATCACCAGCATTGCAGACAAGCAAAAACAAAATTATCTCTCTCTTTCCATCCAATAATAAAATGGATTTTCTGCATGTCCACAGTAATACAGTAATAAACATACGAAGTAAACACCCCACCCTATCCCTGCCCTCCTCGCTTGACACACACATACACTTCTAATTTTGTTAACCAATGTATACATGCCTAAAATGCATATCAAGAGCTTTTAATGAACCTATGATCAATTTTTGGTAATTGAATATTTATCATTGGTTAGAAATTTAATAAGACTATCAAAAATATGCCAATCAATTTAAATTAATTCTGCATAATTAAGAACAGTTTATTCAATATAACTAAAATCAGAGTCAGAAAAACGATACATTTAGATGTATTTATATCCGTAAAAGCCCTTAAGCGTTGGTCTCATTGTTTTACTTCTAAATATTTTTTACAGCGTGTTTCCCATGTTGGTTACATGTATATATTTGAATCAATTTTATGATCTTTTTTGTTAAACGCAATTTAAAAAAAATATTACATTTTGTTTCTTACATATTGTTTTATTACATTTTGCGTTGTCTTCAGTGCAAAAATAAAATAACTCAAAATGTAACAACGACAAAGCACGTTATTACATTCTGCGTTGATCTCGACGCAAAATGTAGTAACACAAAATGTAATAATCTAAAAATTGTGTTATAACATTTTTCATTATTGCATTTGCGTTGATCTCAATAATAACGCAAAATGTAATAATCCCGGTTTATTACATTTCGCGTTGTAACATAGCATTTATACAACTTATAATTTACATACCTAACTTTCGTATTAAAATATTATCACATTCCATCGTGTTTTTTTTTTAATGTCCAAATCTCCATTTTACTTATAAATATTTCTCACAATTATAGTAATATACAATATCTTGTTTGACCCTCTCAAAAGATAATACAGTTTTCCTTAGTTTGCTGTTATATATAGATACACTATTTAATTATACATACTACTAAATTAAATTTATTTATTATATTTGTAATAGTTTCAGGTAATAATTCAAAAATGTTGTTGAAAACAAATAATAAATTGATCACTAAAGATGTACAACTTAGATGGTTTCAATATCAAATTGCACATAGAATTTTGAGTACTAATGTTTAAAGAAAATAGAAATTGTAGATTCTGTTTTGTGTACTTTTTGTGGTATGCATCCTGGGTCTATTAAACACTTGCTTTGGGATGGTTATATGTTGATATATTATAGAGCAAACTTTAAGTAGTAAGAATGGATCAATGATAAAACTAAGCAGGACATTGAAATAAACATAATTAATTGATGCTATACTTGGTAGAGAAAGTAAATATCATACCGGTATATTATATTGATTTTTTTTCAATATCATTTATATGTGTAGTAAAAATGATACATATGGAGATAACGAACGGTATCCAAGATCAAAAGTTCATAAAAAATACAAAATAGGAGCTAAGCAAACACGGACCTCCAAAACATCAGGTGGGATC